GTGAGATAAATCGGTTTAAAAAACCGGAATAGGAATGTTTCGGTCCATTAAGTCACATACATTCCTGTTCAGTGCTGCATCTTTAACTTTTTTTTAAAAAAATTGCACGTTTCCCGTGGCTTTTTTCGTCATTATGTGATTTGTTTTTCGCATAATTTTCTCAGAACTTGATTTACAGCTTCCATACACTTCCGGAAGGATCCGCTTGAACGATTCTATACAGTTATGTGAATGAAAGTCGCACAAAGCTGGAGAAGAATGGAGAAATTGCCAGTTGCATGAATAGCGTGAAAAAAATGCGACAATAAATAATAACTGATAAAAAAAAATTAATTTGTGGAGTCCGTTTTGAAAAGCAAAAAAAAAGGTGAAAATATTGTTATTTCACGCGATTTTCCTCATATGGTACCTGTTTTCTTATGTTCGGTGTAAGCCGATTGCAGCATCCAGGTTAACCTTGGTTGCCAAAGTTCGAAGGCATATTGGATATAGAAAACAGAAAGAAGACAAAAATGAGATCAGACGTTTCGGTCCATGGAGTCATATACGTCTTAACTCAACACTGCAACAGGATTAATTTTCGCATAAATTTTTTTCGCTTACCTAAATCGTTGTTGAAATTTTTCCACGACAATTTTCAGAGCTGATGAGCAAGCAAATTTTGGTTGTTGGCCTAACCTGTGTTGATATAATCAACTATGTCACCAGCTACCCAGCCGAAGATAGCGATTCACGTGTCATGAAACAGGTGATTTTTTCTCATAATCATATTCGGTGCGCCTATTTTTCCAAGATTCGTTGAAAAACAGTTTGCATTGTTCGGGCAACGAGTTCGAGCTCGATATTTATTTATTTATTTATCTTTTTGTGTATTAGAATTATTTATATTTGCCTGAATTATTTTGCTTTGAAATATTTAGGTTTGACAGCGCCAAATTGGAATGTTTCGTTCTCAGATTCTGCTCCAGGAACCGAACAATATTCAGCAAATTCTTATTCCCCAATAATTCTGGAAACAAAAGCTGAGGCGCGGTGTTGAGTTAAAGCGTATATGACTTAATGGACCGAAACGTCTTATCTCATTCTTGCCTTCTTTTCTCATACTGTTCTGTCAGGCTGTAATCTATCGCATCTTTGCCTTTTAGGTTTCTAGAGTTAACCTTACTACAATCAGCTTTGTCAGGACATTGCTTTCATAAAAACCCCAGCATATTTGAAGGCTGTCCGTGCTAGAAAACTTCGATGCTTTTTTTCTTTCCATCTTAAAACTTCTCAGCTTTCGCTCATTTTGGCTGGCTTTCTCTTTCTGTCATCCTTTTAGGGTTCTTTTTCTCAGTCCACTTTACTCTCTTCAAATTTGCCACTCTTACTGTCTTGCAAATTTGCCATTTGCTGTACTGATGATTCCCACTCCTAATCGCATGCTGAGCTCGATATGTGCATACAGCTAAGGGATGAAACACAGACTGCCACAGACTGAAGCACAAATTCTTCACAGATTCATTCCACATATGACTTGTAATTTCTATGCCTATTTTCTAATCTTCTAATACTCCATGGACGGCGATAAAACCCCTCCATATTCTCTCGTTGTGGGGACGGAATTACTCATGAACTCGAGCTGTAGAAAACTGAAGCAGTTGATGGCTCCCTCTTTCAAAATTTGCCCTCTCTGATACTTTTGTCATCGGTACGATAAAATTTATTTCAGGTTTGGACCATTGGTGGAAATGCAGCAAATAATGTTACCGTACTGAATCAGCTTAATTCACACTCAATTTTATTCTCAGCAATTCCGATGAATAATCCGGTTATCACTTCGTAAGTGCTACTTTTTGTAAGTACATTCTGGAAGATTTGTGAAATTTATTAAAATTATAAGACAGTATTTTAAACCGATAATATGCTTCATCATGATCTGGCACTAGTAACAGCGAAGACTAAATAATGATGTTCAACATATATATATACATATGTATATCGCAGAGGGC